CCAAATGCAGAAGTTTCTCAGCTCTAGCTATAGCTAATTCTCAGATACCCCCCAGGTGGCCTCAGCAGTGGGGCAGAACACATCACAGAGGACAGATATGGAAATGAGAATATAAACTAGGCGAGAATTTACAGTGTTTCGACTTGCACACAGAAGCAAATGGAATGACTGTGTCTTCTCTGCCCAGTTAACCAAAATGATATTTTAAGTAAAAGATCTTTAAATATGTTTATATCCAAGTGAGTAAAATAGTGCTCAAGTTAATGCTAGGAGGTTACAAGAGGGAAGAGAAAGAGCAGAGAGATAAGATGCAGGACAGAAAGGGCTGTAGCAAGGGAACGGCCTCTGAGCAGTCTTTCCTGTGTTCAGTGTTTGTCTCTGCCTCAGATTCCTTCCTCAGCCACACAAAGCTGTTGTAACATGGTCTGTTCCTCCTCTCTTTGGCAGACTAGTTTCTAGGACAGTCTCAACTCCAGCCTTTAAATTTTCAGCCTCTTTCTCTAGGTTCTGTTGTCCATTGTGCTTGCCATAGGCTTTTTCTTTCTTTTGAAAGGTTTTACTCTTGCTTTTCATTGCAGGTAGGTCTTACAAATGTTTTCCCCATGGCTGGTAGGTGAGAGCTAGTTCTCTGATCTTTCATGACCTGTCTCCCAGACCTCTGGCAGATTCTTCCCTACTGGTCACTTCTGTAGTTGTTTCAGTTTCTGACTCATTTATGGAGCAAGGTTATCTGCTGTTCTGCAGAATCTGGGTTTCTCTGAAGAAACCTCCCTCAGGTTTCTACTCCTGAGAAGCAGAGGATCTTCTTTCATCTGATCCCTGCTATTGCCACCAGTCTAGTTCTGTCAACTGGAGAAAGACAAGTAAAGTGCAAGAGAGGATGCTTCCTTTGAAGTGCCAGCCCTCCCGATGAAACTGCCAAAGGGGAAGGCACAAGAAGGTAGAAATGAAGTAAGTTTGCATATTGGTGTTTTCTCTTTTAAGTGGCTCGGTCTTTTCAGTGCCTGAGGCCCCGATAATTCTAATCAGCTGCACACCCTGAAGGAGCGCTGCTCTGCACACGAGGCCTCAGCTCAGCTGCGAGCACCTTTTATTTTTCATATATGTAAGTCAAATGAGATTGGTGGCATACATTTTAACGAGACACGGTTCAGGTTTAATCTGTGCACAGAGCAGCTGGACTTTGCAGCTAGCTGAGTTAAAACCAGAATAAAGGAGGGAAAAATATTAACGCACCAATGTAAGTAAGAAACTTCAGTTCCATTAAAAATGAAGGACTGCTCCACTACCTAAAATCCTTGCTCGTTTTTCCCATTTTTCTGCTCCTCCCTTCAGTCGCTGTCTTCGTGCAATCCCTGTGGGTCTCAGAGAGGGAAAGTGCTTGTCTGGAAGGCAGCCAACGTCGTTAGCCTGGCTGGCTAATGGAGACCTATATATAGTGGGTTGCTACCGACTTTCTTCGGGAGTTAACTCAGGGTAGCGTCTCCAGGCGGAGCTGCCTCTCAGAGTACTCTGCCTTTTGAATCTGTGCATGATAGTTTTCAAAACACAGGCATGTTTATTACAGAAGCAGTTTCCTCTAAAATGTATAAAATTTAAAGTGCTGGATGATGCATATGCTAGCAGGTCATAAGTTTCTATCTTGAATATTTTGTCTAACAGGAAATCTACCTGAGGGAGTCAGACAGTTCACAAAATCTTAACACTTGAAGTAAGCTATTCTCTGCATTTAGTAAAAGAAAGGCAAGCCTTGTCTTTTAAGGACTCAGGATTTCTCCATTCCCCACACACAGAAAAAAAAAATAATTCTCCATTCTTTTTCAGTTGGATTTTGTTTCCTATTAGTATAATGACTGTGTGGAATAAGGAATTTCTACTCAATTTTTCTTAGAACTATTTGGGCATGTACATAACTCTTTTTATTTTTTTCCCCTGTTTGTGACATCAGTTAAGGAATTGGAATCATTCTTCTTTAAATTTTTTTTTCTTCCTCTTCCCCAAGTTTTCTGACTTTTCCTTTTCCCCTTGTTGTGTCACTTGCAGGTGACTCTGTGAGTCACTGGTCAGCTCTGGCTCTGTGTATTCTGTGGGTTTAATTCTGTTACAGTGCCTGAATTTCAATGTTTAGGCACTAGGGCTTTGATAGCATAATTTTGGTACGAATCAAACTTCAAACCTGCTTATAGACAAACTGAAGATGCAGTAACATCCAATCTCTGGCTGTGAGAGAACAGGGTTGTGGGGAACTTGCTGTAAAGCCTTTGTGGCAGGTAAAAGATGTTGTGTATGGTTCAGGGCCTGAGAAAAAGGGTCTTTAGTCCTGAAGGCATTACTGTGGGATTTGGGAGTAAGAAGGTACGCTGCATAGTAGAAGTGGAAGTGTTTCTCTGTCTCAAAGAGATGGTACAAGGGTGTGTCATTGAAGGCTACGAGGTGTAGTGGTACCGTAGTATTTGGGACCATATGAAATATCCAAGAAGAGAAACAAATTAGAAGTATTTGAACCTAAAAACACAGCAAGCAACACAGATTTAAGTGAGTCATGGTAACGTAGCCATGGATTTTGTGTTGGTGGGATTAGTGTTGCCATCCAATGCTACTTTCCATGAGAGTAAAGAGTACTCTTGCACTGAAAAGTGTGGCAAATTGGTTGCTTGCAAAAGAGTGTGTGATCTTAATTCTAAGCAAAAGTTTGAGAAATGCTCTATTTTCAGCACTTTGCTTTACGTAGTTAGAATTGCACTTGCTGGACTTGGGGTGGTTAGTAGCCCATCGCAGAACATGGGGGCTAACTTATCAATAATTTCCTATTTCAAGGTTGCTGCATGTACTTTCTGAAGTAAATTATTTTTTCATTCAATCGACTCAAAATCTGTCTAATATCAGTGCAAGGATTGTATTAGCGTTTCAAAGATAAATGTTATTCTTGGGGTCAGTAAACCTCCCGCAAATGTAGGTTCGGAAGTCCATGTCCAGACTGTCTGGGGACATTTTATGAGATATGAGAGAATAGTCTAAGCCTTCGGTGTGTTAAACCAGGTGAATAAATTTTAGACCACTGCAGCGGGAGAAATCTTTTGCTTTTGTTCATATATTGAATTAAGCTAGTGAAGAATTTAAGTGCTTAGATCAGCCTCGGCACAAAGACAAGAGACAGCTCAGGTTTTGACATAGCAGTCCCATTTAGACCATCATCTCCTGGGCAGTGATGTATGTGGTGTCATTCGTGGTGATTTGAAATCTGCAATAAAACACTGTCTATTGCAATAACTGCCAAACTTATTTTAAAGTAACAAATTCCTTTGGGTAGTTTTACTGTGATTTATTTAGCCTACCTTGTTCTGAAAAAAAAAGTGTGAAATAGTGCAGGAAAGAAAAAAAAAAAGATTGTATGTTTAAGTTTCTTTCAGATATTAGAAATTTATTGCTGGTTCTACCCCTATCAATTCCTCCTCTTTTGATAACTTGAATTCTCATTGAGCCTGTGCTCAGGAAATATAATTCTTCCCAGCAAGAATTGTTTTTGCAATCTGAAGGAAAGTTAAAAGCATTCTGAGGACTGAGAAGGATATTGCATAAAGTCAAAATTTGACACTTCGGTAAGAATGTATCAGCCAAGCCAAAATA